CATGCATTTGAAGGACTGGGGATTTTCTGTATCCCCCTTTATTTGTCCCCATTCATCCTTGTGTACCCCATACTGTGCTGATCAACTAATCCATTCAAAAAGGACTTGATGCACTTCCCTCACATACGGTCAATACCATTTCAAGCATCAGTCAGAGGGTAGCACTAGAGACATAAAGCGTGCTTGCTCTCTTTCCCCAGGAGGTGAGACTGCTGCCTCCACAGCCCCACTGGCCCGGAAAGCAATGAGCTCGAAACTCAAACATGCTTTGAAAAAATAATTTAGATTTTTCCTTTAAATTGATGCCAGTCTTGAAATCTCCTACACCACAGTGTTTCTAATGGGGCCAAAGTGGCAGCATTTAATAGCAGCTTCCTTGCAGATTTCCTTCTGAAGCACTGACTTCAGTGAGTTATCTTAAAGCCACAATATGTTGCAAACACCCACCCAAAGACTATTGGTCTAATAAAAGATATTACCTCACCCAAAGACTGTCATCCACCTAGTACAACACATTCTCCATAGTGGGATTTGCATTACTAGTTATTCTCAGGGCTTAGTGTGAATCACTGGAAAAGATAGCCCAGTTCAAGTTCACAAATTAATCACGTTCATCATTAAGCACACAAAAAAAAAAAGAAAGAAAGAAAGAAAACAATATCAGAAATAATGTATTTTTAAAAAAAAAAGACAGCACTTGATACTCAATGCAAATTAACACAGTGCCCTAAGGAGCTCTCTACTTGAGTCAAAATACATCTTCTAACTTCAATATTTAAAATAGAAGTCTAAAAGGTATTCCTTCTACAGTATGAACTACCTGCTATAAGCAAATTGATAGGCTTAGGGATATTTATCCCATCCACAGTGGACTAGAATTTATTACCACGTATTACACATTTCCAAACATAAATAAAAATTAATACATTGAGACTATCTGTGAGTCACAAACTAACTGGTGCACAGATCTATTGTACTTACTGGTGGATGTACTACTGCCCTCTAATGGATAGACTGAGACAGGCTCCAGCATGCATAGTGTGTCCAGAGTCCTACTGTCCAGGCCTCTTTATGTTCAATTTTAAACTAAAATGTACAAAAAATATGAATCAACCAAATAGGTGACTTCATATAATTAATGTTATTGCCCTGTAATCTGCACACAGGGTTTGCCCTGCACTTTTACCATGATGTCTGATTAACCACTCCTTTCTATGCTCTACTCTGCCAATGCCCTGTGTCTTGATACTTCCTTCATCTCAAGTTCCCATGCCTAGAATATCCACCCTGGTTTTATGCCCCATGTAACTCTCCTTCAAAACTGTCTTCAAGACTCACCTCTTTTGGTCACCTTTGTACTACCAACCCTCATCCTAGACATTGTCCAAGCCAAAAAGATTACTTTATTAAGAACCAAAAGCCAAGAAAGCTCTAAAAAGACATGTTCATAACACTCAGCTTATCTTTCAATCTTTCTTTGTTGTCACCCTCCAATACCTCCCATTCCCCCTCCCTTTGCTCTTCTTCTCCCTCATTGTGTCAGTCTAATTTAGATTATAAACTGCTCAGAGCAAAACATCACTTTATTTGTCAGTAAAGCACTATGCACACCTATAGTACTGCATCTTCTTCAAGTGAGGTCTCCAATGTAGAGGCTGTTGACCACCAACTTCCATCTTTTGCAGTCACAACAAAGTTGTAAAACTCCACTCTTCTTTGGATACCAGTCCACCTGATGACATTTCCAGTGTAACTGACTCTCTTTCTTCCTCTTCCTGGTTTTCCTGTGATCTAGCCTGATAGTATGAGTGCTGAAATGTCCACAAAAAGATGTTAGTCTTTTACATAGGGTCTCAAAGTAATTTTACTCTTTTTAAATTAATCCTTCCCATCATTTCTTCATTCATATGTCTACACGTACAGTGCTGCAGCAGCACAGCTATATTGATACAGCTATGCTGGTACAGCACGTCTGGTGAAGACGCTCCATGCTGGCAGGAGAGAGCTCTCCTGTCAACATAAAAAAAACACCTCAGCAAGTGGCAGAAGCTCTCCCACCAACATAGAGCTGTGCACACAAGCACTTATGTTGGTATAACTTATTTCGCTCAGGAGGGTGGTTTATTCACACTAACATAAGTTATGCCGATATAGGCTGTCCATATGTAGTACTTCAGCATTCTAGTGCAGATGTGCAGTTTTAAATTTTGACAACACATAAATCTTTGGAAGTTGTTGAATATATCTTTTACAAGCTGTATCCCTCTCTAGATTTCTTCATCACATCTCCTGTCTGATGTTGTTAGATCCCTTAAGTAGGGAAACCTATTCACTTGTTCCACCACTCAACCACCAAAGTATAGATGTTGCCTACTTTGTGCATCACTGTTTACTTACTTAGTATTGCATAAATCATCAAAATAAAAGCCTAATTAAAAAGAAGTAGCTCTGCCCTGTGCTCTGAACACCATCAACTTCAGGAAACAGGGTGAAGTGTAAGCCTTGTGAACCCACTCTGTTTCTTCATCCCGTATCTTCCTGTGTTCATCATCCTGGGCTGGAATGGAGGTGGATAAGGAATGTAGGAAAGAATGCCATGGAAACAGGGCCACAGATATGCTTACTGTATTTACCACCACCACGCAAGTCTCCTTCCACCTTGGACAGCAAAGAGCCCCTCTCTGTGACTAGAGGCGCTCATAATAAAGTACCAGCCAAGTGATCACCCATGCACTATATCATTAGCAATGGTCCCAGATGGTGGGAATCTTCCATTCCAGCCCATTCACCTTAGCAAATGGTTAATGGTCTTGGAATCCAACTAGGACCATAGAAACAGGAGCATGATCACTTGTGGACCTTTGGGAACAATTTTGTATATAAATGAGTAGTGTGCTACAGACCTGCGAGGCTTTCACAACGGTGCTTAGCACTACCATAGACAATTAACATTACTGCACTTTTTACCTACTGTAAATACTACTGTACTTAATATAGGCAAGACCTCAGGAAGAACAAGTTCTGCAGTCAGGAGTACTCTACAGATGATTCCCTCCACTAGTCCCATAAAGTCTAGGAACTAGCAGATCTTAAACTTCTTGATGGGCACTAGAGAGAGAAAGGCAATCTCTCAGACCATTTACAGCTTCACAGATTGTAAAAAGTACCTTACTTTCCAGGTGCAATGTAACAGGCACTAAGTGGAAACTACATTTCTGCTTTGTTAACTATTGTGACTTTGTCTTCCTGTATGTTTGTACAGTTCCTAGCTGAATGGGGCCATAATCCTGGCAGCTCTTTGCATGCTACCATAATAACTAATACAAATACATATAGTAGTAACAGATAAGGAACTGATGAGAAAACAATTTTTTACTTTACTACTGGTCTAAGACTAAATAACATTTGGTTGTTGTTTTGTTGACAGAAGGAACTATTGATTTGCAAACAGAAATATACGCCCTGATTCTGCACTTATGCACATGCTTAAATTTACTCCCACAATGGGAACACTCATGTTCACAAATTTAAGCATGTCCATGCTTGCAGGGCAGAGGCAACATTGAGACGAAGAGGAAGATCTTTCTAGCAGGACTGCTTCATGATGGAGCCAGTGGCACAATGAATAACAATAGATCAGAACCCAGTAGGTTTGAATCTTGCCTGAGTCATGAGTTACTGCAGCTTTTATAGTGTAGCAGTTCCTACGTTAGCCTAAGACATTAGATGTCCCTTAGCTTGAAACCAAGCAGGATTATTTTAAGCAATCAGACACCATGGTGATTATGCTGCATAAAAACTTAAATGGAAATAGAACCTTTACAATAGGCACATTTTTAGGCCAACCAACACTAAAAGGGAAATTAGAAAGGAAAAGCACCTGCTAGGTCATTTAGTCAGTGCCTTGCCAGCGTCGGATTGTTCTGTGCCATACATTTGCTCATTCATTATCCCTTTCAATAAGGTGGTTGTTCCAAGCAGGTAATTCACTTATTTAAAATAGTGGCAGAAGATCTGTGGCGTTTACTGACATTCAGGAATTAGCTTTTAGGGTGGCAGGCAGATGCCGTGGGGCAAAGCTCCCTGCGCGGGGAAGGGCCCCCTTCTAAATGAATGCCTCGAGGGCGCTGCAGACAGGGCACTGCCTCCGCCCCCTTAGCTCCTGGGGGGCTACTGAACACCCTCTGCCTGCCCTGGGGAGTAGGCAGCGGCTGCCTAGCAGAGCTCTCGCCGGGCGCGTGCCCCTGCCCTCCGCCCCTCTCCCAGGCAACCCCGTGCCGGGATAAGCTCCTAGTCAGAGGGAAAGAACCAGCCGCCGCCCGCCCAAGAACGGACGGTGACCCAGCTGCAGGCGCGCGCGCCGCGCCCCCACCCTCGGCGCTGCAACAACCGTACCCTGACGTCACCCACACGGGGAAGAAGGGACTCAAGCTGGCGGCGTCCATAGAGCGCATGCGCACGGCTAACAGTCTTCTTGGGTTGGGTGGTTACCGGGAACCGTCGCTCTATGGCTTCCCTGTTGCAGCCCGGAGAGATCAGCGGGAGGGACGCTTCCGGTGGAGTGGCGGCTGCATGACGGGTAGGGCAGAGAGGTGAGGTCGGGGGGTCTGTGAGGCCCGGTTAGGGGGAAAGCAGGGAGCCCAGGAGACTGTGCGCCAAGGGGAGAGGGCGCTCCTGCGTGTGTTGGGGGGGAGGGGTACCTGTGGTAGGGGGAAGGGCTCGTGCGTGTGTTGGGGGGGGAGGGCTCCCTGTGGTGGGGGGAAGGGGTACCTGTGGTAGGGGGAAGGGCTCGTGTGTGTTGGGGGTTCCTGTGGGGAGGCTAGTAAGAGGGAGGGGCTCGTGCGTGTATATATTGCGGAAGGGGTACCTGTGGGGGGAGGGGTGGTAGTTGGGAGGGGCTTGTGTGTATATAGTGGGGGAGGAGTTTCCTGTGTGCTATGATGTGGGAAGGAGGCATGTTGCTATGTAGGGGGCTTCTATGCAAGTTGGGTGGGATGGGGGAGAAGCTTGTCTGTGTGCTATGAGGGGTAGCAGCTGTACCTAACTATAACGAATAACTTAGTGTAGGGAGTGAATTTATTGGCCCTGAACTGTATCAGTGGTTCCCAGCCACAGAGACATGTTGCGATATCCCCGCCATGGGTACTGCAGGCTTTTGCAATTGGTGCTCGCCAGGGATTCCATCAGGGTCTTGTGAGTTCTGGATGCGGCAATGAGATTAAATGTTTCACTGTTTTTATAAAAATAAAAAAATTCCTTCACTTTTTAAAAATAAAACTAATGGGAACATTTTTGTTATACTTTGGTATTGTAACCCAACCCCTTTATTCTTGTTTGTCAAAATCTAAACTGTGCCTCCTACTTAGAATGCTAGTGTCCTTTCTCTTCATGGAAAGCACTTGAAAATAATGTAGGGCCCTTAGAATGGATAGCAATGTAACATTAAGAATTAGTTCATATTTTATCAGAAGCTATTGGAAGGAGACAGGTGGCTGTTGTTGATGGGGATCACTCTCTTCTGCTTCTGGCCCTCTCTTGCATTGTCGCCTATCTCTAAAGACACTGTCAGGTTACAAATTATATTAATAAGGGAGAACTAATCCTGTGGTCTGCAGGTCTTTTTAAAGACTGTACTGTGGGGGCCAGAGTGGAGGAAGGGGGAGAGGCAATATGCGGGAGGAGTTAGTAGGAGCAAAGGAGAGGGAAAGAGTGGCATTCAAGAGGAAAAGGGATGGGGAGGACAGTGAAGGAGTGGGATGAGGTCAGGGCAAACAACCTATCAGAAAACAGCGTTCAGTGTTAAACTGCTAACAGTCAGTCTGATAACATCACTGTCATCCAGAAGTGTGGGCCAGCCCCTAGTGTGGCTAGCTCAGGGGTGGGCAAACTACAGCCCGCGGACCGGACCGCCAGCCAATTTAATCCAGCCCTCGAGCTCCCGCTGGGGAGTGGGGCCAGGGGCTGCTCTGCGCAGCTCCCGGAAGCAGCGGCATGTCCACCTTCTGGCTCCTACGCATAGGGGCAGCCAGGGGGCTCTGCATGCTGCCCCCGCAGCTCCCATTGGTCGGGAACTGTGGCCAATGGGAGTTGCAGGGGCAGCACCTGTGGACGGGGCAGGGCACAGAACCACTTGAGGCAGGGGCAGCGTGCAGTATCAGTAGTCTTTCACGTACTATGCTCAGACTTTCCATCTGCTTCTCACAGAAACTCAGGTCACCAAGGAGACCAGCTTGGATAGCTCCCCAGACACTGGTGAGAGTTTTCAACTTTTACCCGTTTAATCTCTCAGCTAATCCTATCTAATCTAAGAATACCAAAGGACTCCAACCTTGGATTAGGCTATTTAGAAGATCCCTGCAGGGACTATTAAATTAAAAGCCCATCACCATTCTGCTGTCTTGCATCATCTAGGAGCTAAGAGTGGTTTCAGCTCTCCTGGCACAGTGGAAAAGGGAGACTGGAGAGGGTTGGTTGTGGCACAGTAGAGTGCATTGGTATCTGTGAAGGTGGTGGCCAATGCAAAATAATAATCAATCCCATTTATGCAAATACAGGACTTTAGGATATCTATTTAGAAAGGGCCAGTGCTGTGATTCAGCATGGCTGTGTGATGTTCTCTAGCTGCTGAAGAAAGAGAGCCACTGTAGCACAGGAGAGGCTTATGTTAACTCTACCATGTGTAGCCCATGGTTGTGATAAACTGAGATACTGGACTGCAGCTGTTCCAGAACTTCTGTCTTCTCACATTAGGACATTTCTTTGCCTTAAAGCCTCTGACACTTTGCTTGCCCTCCCATTGTAGTTCTTCTCATATTCTCTTTTGACCGAGAACACTTCATTATTATTTGGGTGCTGAATTCACTTCCTCCCCCTGTTTCGTCGCACTATTGAGCACCAGTGGGAGCAAATCTAAGGAGGCGATTGTGCACCAGCTCCTCCACTATGTGGAAGCCCATGTGGGGTAATATTTACTTCAAGATATTATTAAACAAAATATTCCCAATTGATTTAGTTAAATCTATTTGGCTCTGTCCTACAGATTGTCTTCACTGTTGCTTTTATACATCTCCAATATTTTATGCTCATCTTGATTCTGTTGTTGGTTTCTGGATGCAGTTGTGAAATGCTTTTTAAAAGAAAACACGGACTTTAAACTTTAAAGACGATCTAGTGCTCATGAAAGAAGGCTGACAGCTCTAGAGATTTAAACCATTACCTGTTCACCAGACAGGCATGGTATGGGCAGCACAGGGGGTTTGAAGTCATTACAGGGTCATGGGAATCCCGTATGATCTTGTTCACTAACCCTCTATGACATATAACATAAATTGCTTGAAACTCCACTGCCAGGAATATCCCAAACAGAGGATTGTACCTCTGTGCCTCATATACAATGCTTCCCCAATGGAGGCGACTACAATAATAGAGAAAAGCAGATCTAATCCTCTTCTGTGTATGTGCTATTCCTCTTTCCGTAGGATTGACAGCTATAAACAGGAGTATCAGAGAGGCGATCTGCTGCTGAAGGCAAGACAAATAAAAGGTATTCTTTTCCTTCTCTCCCTCTCTCATTTGTCTCATCTTGTGTAGCTGCTTCCCCATTGATCCCAGCAAGTAGAGTGAAACTAACAAGGATTGTCAGGTTTCATTAAGTGGACAGTAGGAGCTTGAGAGCTATTCTGTAGGAAAGAACAAATTTAAATAGAGAGGAAGATGAGGAAAGAAATGGGGAAGGAGAAATGTGAAGAGAGCTGAAGAAAAACATCAAAGGGATCGTTAGGGTTGGGAGAGAAAGAATTGTTCTTGTGGTCTAGCAGTAATGGCTAAAAGTTTGGAGTATCACTCTGAGAGTATCTTATATTCTAGAGATTCCATTTGGCTGTCTGAAGGAGCAGAAGTCAGGGACTCTGGAGGGAGTCTCCTTGGTTGGAGGGAAGTTCGTTGACATGTTGGCTTTCTTGGAAAAGAGAAGGCAAAAGTGGAAAAATAGTTGGAAGAGGGAGGCGGGGACATGCTTCAAACAAAAGGACAGATATGAGAGAAAACAACGACGTGGTGGAGGATGTGCATGAAATCCAAAGAGATGAGGAATGGAAGAAAAATGGAGATATGAATCTCCTAACTATATTGACATCAATGGGAGCTAGATGCTTAAAAACCTTTTGAGGATCTTGGCCTGAGTCTTCATGCCATTTAATCCCTGGCTTCTCTGCAGAGACTACCAAATTAAGTGATGTCTCTACATGGAGAACTGTATATTAGGAATTAGACTAATTTTACATAGAGCTGGGATGACAAACCTCAGACATGCTAAAAGTGATACTTAATGTGTTTTACGGTTATGCAAATGACATTGGCATCAACTGTGTTGCAGTGAGAAATGCAGCCTCAAGCATGATGCCCCTCATCTCGTGTGAATTGCAAGTGTGATTTGAGGGTGGAAGACAGGATCATACTGGCAAATGCTTGGGATCCTGGAACATCTCAAATAGTTGCAGTTTTTCCTCTTCCTTCTGTAGGGAAGTGTGTATATGTGTGCGTATCCATTCTTTGCCCGGAGATGTCTGCTCTTTCCAATTATGCCTTGCGGATGGCCCGCCTGAGTGCCCGGATATTTGGAGAAGTTGTCAGGCCAACAGACAATAAGTCCATGAAAGTAGTGAAGCTGTTCAGCGAGCAGCCCCTTGCCAAACGGAAGGAAGTCTACGATTGGTATCCCCCTCACAACACCTACGTCGCCCTCATGAAGAACCTCCGCTTCCTTGGCCTTTACAGGTGATCCATGTGTGTAATGTGAGGGTTGGGGGGTGAGGGGGATGGACTGGGCAACAAGGAGTTGTGGCTTCTGTTAGGGTTGTGTTAAAGCAGCAGCAGAACTATTAAAGTGGTGCAGTTCAGAAGACAGACAGGCCGTATAGAAGAAGCACTTTTTTTGGTGTGCTTGGTGTGGGAAGAATAGAGTAAAATGTGGACGGGTTGTTTATGTAGTTTTTCCTATTTGGATGCACCGAACCTTTTGTGGGCAAGAGTTCGTAGACCAATGGGTGTAGTTAAGCAATCGCATGTCAATATGGGGCATGCTTCTTCTAGCTCAGCGGTTCTCAAACTGTGGGTCAGGACCCCAAAGTGGATTGCGGCCCTGTTTTAATGAGGTCGCCAGGGTTGACGTTGGACTTGCTGCGGCCCGGGCCCAAAGCTGAGACCCAAGCACAGGTTTGACCCGGGACTGGGGCTGAAGTCTGAGCCCCACCACCTGGGGCAGTGGGGCTCGGGCTTTGGCTTTGCCCCCCTCTACTGGAGGCAGCAGGGCTTGGGTGGGCTCAGGCTTTGTCGTCCCCTCCCCCCGTGGTCTTGTAATAATTTTTGTTGTCAGAAGGGGGTCGTGGTGCAATAAAGTTTGAGAACCCCTGTTCTAGCTGTTTGGGACAGGGTCCTTATCCATTAAGAAAGCATTGCTTTGCAAAGCTGATGAATGATAGGTGTGATGTCTGTCTGCAGAACAGAAGCTAAGGCAACAATTATGAGGTGTCCGGATCTTTCAAGGAGCTGCAAAAGATGTATAGCATGTTAATACACCAACTGCTAAAATACTCTTACCCTGTGTTTATGGCTACTTCAGTACCCACCCTTGAAATTTGGTGGTGGTTGATTTTTCTTTAAGTTTTAAAAAACTAGGTCACCTTCAAACCATCCAAAATGAAGGGAAATTGTTTTCCAAATATAGGAGGACAAAATTGACTAGAAACATTTATATTCAAGCTTCTAAATGAGTATTACAATTTTGAGTAAGGAAACACTGAACTGATTACTTGTAGATGTTCTTTGAGGCAGTTAAATGCAGCCCTTACTCTGGCCAACTGGCATGGAATTTATAGGAATTTCTTTAACAGGTAGGATTTCTATTTCTAGTACAAAACTTCCTAGAATAACTTCCTCTTGGCACAAAACGCCAAACTATAAACTGTGCTCGCTCAAGTGTCTTGTTTCTTGTGTATGCTCAGAGAGGCCTGCAGTGGCTCAGGTGTGCTATTCAGAAATAAATGTTGTGATAGGCAGTGGACGTTAGACACAGATCTAAAGACCAAGGGGGCCTGGGAATAATTCTTATACTTTTCTGGAAGTATTAAAAATAGCAGGGCAGCAGCCTTAGACAAACTTGAGGTGCTACTACCCATTTTCCCCACACTTTCCACTGCTAAGTTGCATTTGGATGGGAGATGGAGTGGAATTTATTTAAAGGGTTCTCCAGGATTTCCTATCCTGTCCTTCCCCACCTCTGTTCACTTTTTTACTGCTTTTTTACAGCACCTAGCGCAGGGGGGTCCTGCTTCATGACTAGGGCTCCTAGGCGCTATGATAATACAAATAAATAATAAAGATCCCACTGGTAGATATAGGTTCCTCCAGAACCCTTCAGTGAAATCAATTGAGAGCAATGCCAGGTGTAACTGCAGCCCGCCCTGCCTCTCTCCTCAGGAGCTAATGACCCAAACTTGAGTCTTTGCATGGTGTTACAACACAAGATGAGACTTCTGAGCTAGCTTGGAGGGGGGAAATTTTGATTTTTTTTGTCTCTTGTTGATTTTATATTTTACTTCCCATTTGAGCACAATGGATCAAGAAATATACTGTAAGAAATATATATCATTTGTTGCTGATAAAGGCAATCTTGTTAATTCCATAAGTACCAAAGGAAATCTTTCAAATTATTCTGTGAGTGTTTGCAATATTATTGCTAACACTAAATGTAATGAGATTCAATATAGGCTTCATTCTCTAACACATCTGGACAACTATCAGACTTGCCTGGGAATAGGTATGGGTGTGGGAGTTGGAGAGCATTAGATAAACAACAAGACTGCAAGCCAGGAGATTTCGATCCCGTTTTTCATTCTGCCACAGACTTGGTGTGATTGAGCAAGTCCCTTCACTTCTAAGTCTTGGTTTTTCCCCACCTTTTAAAATGGAATAACATTACCTCACATGTTGGTGATAGGCTTCATTCCTTAATTTCTGTTAAGTACTTCGAGATTCTTGAATGGAAGGTGCTGCTGTAATGCAAAATATCATGTTGTTGGTTTGTTTTCCTCTTGATGTAAAACACACTAGGATAATGTACATGTTGTATAATGTTTACTTTAGTTCTCATCTTGTTTTGTGTACAGCTCTCCATTCTTCAAGGTGGGAATCTACCATTCTGAGTGGGAAGTATTGGCCGCCAGAACCCACTGCACTCTTGTTCTTTTGGAAGAAGTTAAATTTAACCCTCTTCCCTCTCTTTCTTCCATCCAGAGATGAACATCAAGATTTTAAGGAAGAGATGAGACGGCTAAAGAAGCTCCGTGGTAAAGGAAAACCCAAGAAAGGAGAAGGAAAGAGAGCTACCAAGAAGAAATAGTGCTACTTTGGAACTGCAACAGACTACTTTAGAAATGTCAGAGCAAAAGCAACCCTATCCCTTTCTTCCCAGCCAGAGACGGATTTGCATGCAGCTGAGTTCATGGCTGCAGTGGGGATTGGGTGTAAGCAGTCTGCCAGATATTAAACTCTGAATTGAACTCTCTTTTTACTAGGCCTCTTTGAGCACTCAGGTTTTTCACCAGTGACTGTATATATAGGAATAATTCAGTATGTTTCAGCACCCATGATAATGCTGATTTGGGTTTCAGTTGCTATGGGAGCCCTTTTCTACCTGAGTCAGCAATAAAAAAAGTCTACATTTTTGGTGTTCACCTCTGCTGCTTTCTGTCCTTGTTTCTTTGACTTTTCACTTTCACCAAAATACTACATGTTCTACCTTCTTTCATTCATTAAGTATGTCTTACCTGCTTATATTGATCCCAGTGCTGTTTGGTTCAGACTCAGTAAGAATGATGCCTTCTGCTACTGTGTAGCCTGGAACATCAATTTATAATGTATGCAGCTTTACCCGCCCTACCCTTTACCTTGGTGGTTGCTTTTACTTAATACTAGAAACAATTCATTTGCATTCTGCACTGGAGGGCACTTCCTGGTCCCCACCCTGGCCACAGCACTCTCATTGTACTGTGTGTAATTAGATCTACAGATGATAGAAGTTGTGGTGTGAGGATTCTAAATTGCTTCAAGTTCTGGTCCCTACCAAATGAATTATTGTTAAATATGTATTACTCCAAAAGGAGATCAGACAAGGATGTTTGTTTGTCTGTAAGGACATGTATGTAGTATTCCACAAGGAAATTAACTCTAGTTCATTGATATTAGGGGCACCTTTATAGCTAGGCTCCCTACAGCGTTATCCATATTAGCAACTATGTGTCTCCTTACCTTTCTTTTGTCTTTCTTCCTGTCTATTCTTTCCCATTATGTGGGTGCAGCAACAGAAGATACGTCCACCTCTGTTCCTGTGTTTTAGGTGTACCTTTCTGGCCCTCTTCCCACTTTACGTGCTAATGCCTTCTCTTCCAAGTGTATAGGCCCAGCTCTTTCCTTTTCCCCACTTGCACAATGTACTGTTAACAGTACTCCCTTGGTTGCCTTCCTGGATATGGCAAGTGAATTAGCAGGAGCGAGCCAAGTTAAAAGGCTTGTGTGCATGACGGGGGAGATTGTAGTACAGAGCAAGCTTTCAAACTCCAGAGGCACCTACTGAAATGAACACCTTCTGCATACCCTGGAACATACAGACACACGCTGAAGTAAAAATCATCAGGGAGGTGTACTCTTCCCTGTGTATCTATACTATATGCACTTGAGAAGGGGGGTAACTTGATAGATATACTCCAACTGGAGATACCCAGTAGAAATAGGTATGTGGGTCTATGCATTTACAGTCATGTTAAGGTTTTATATAGACAATCCAAATTCAAAAATATGGCTTCTGGAGCATACCATCCACTCCTTGGGCAGCTCTAGTGTTTAGTATTACTATACATGCGATTTTCTATGTCTCTTATGTTAGTTAATCCTTATTTTATGGTGTCTTCCCTAGCAAACAGTAATCAACTAGGTTTTCTTTCTCTCTCTCTCTCTCTCTCACACACACACACACTGTGTTTAGAGTGCTGAAACACAGTTTGAGAGGAGACTTTAACTTTGTTTCTAGACTTTTGAGCATTTAAAATCTCAACTAATATTACATAATTTATTTTTTCTAATTCATACTACAATATACAAATGAGCACGCATCACAAATTCTGGCCACCTTTGGCAAATGTCTAAAACGGGTAGGCAACCTGTGGCACGCAAGCTGATTTTCAGTGGCACTCACACTGGCCGGGTCCTGGCCACTGGTCCAGGGGGCTCTGCATTTTAATTTAATTTTAAATGAAGCTTTTTAAACTTTTTAAAAACCTTATTTACTTTACATACAACAATACTTTAGTTATATATTATAGACTTATAGAAAGAGACCTTCTAAAAACATTAAAATGTATTACTGGCACGTGAAACCTTAAATTAGAGTGAATAAATGAAGACTCAGCACACCACTTCTGAAAAGTTGCCGACCCCTGGTCTAAAAAATAATAAACAAACTCCAGCACTTACACCCAAACAACCACTACCCTCCCCTCAATCACCCTCCTTCCCAACTCCTTGCAGGGCAGAGAGAAGAGATGGTTCTTACATCATGCCCTGAATAATAAACTTCAGGCTATGAACTGAAGCTGCAGGGCAGTGAGTTTCAAAGTCATAGGTTTCCACCAGAAATCACCTCCCAGCAGCCCCATCTCTCTTATCCTAAAGGGGCTTTATCTATCTGAAATACTTATATGATCCCCTTTACTGTAGTATCAGAGCACCTCATAATGTTTAATACATTTATCCTCACAGTGCCCCCATTTGGTAGGGAAGTGTGACTATCCTCATTTTACAGATGAAGAGCTGAGAGAGAGATTCTCAGGGTACCTCTCCACTGCAATATAAGATCTGTGGCTTGGCCACAGCTGGCCCTAATCAGCTGACTTGGGCTTGCAGGGCTAAAAATTGCAGTGGAGATGTTTGGACTCAGGTGCCTGGTCTCTAAAATCCTATGGGGGGGGGGGTCGTCTCAAAAGCTGGGCTCCAGCCTGAGCCAGAATGTCTACTTTGCATTTTTTAGGTCTGTAGCCACCCTGTGAGGCAGAGTCAGCTGAGCCAGGGTCTCAGACTGGATGCTACAGGTTTTTTATTACAATGTGCTTTGCCCTTGTATAACCTTTCTTAGACTTCAGAACCACAGTTGTTTTTATAGTGAAATTACCTTACTTTGATATTTAGATGACATGCAGGCTGAGAGCACCTGAAATAATGTTACACCTGTGCTCCAGCTCTTGATGATGACAAACTTGGTTCATTGACCTTTAAATAAGGAACTGAGAGCCAAATGTCTGCTTTCAACTGTATCCTGAACAGAGGGTCAGTGTCACAGTTTATTTCAAGTGAGGCATGATGGTCAAAGTGTGCTTTGAGATCTAGCAAAACATTACAAAGTATAAAGAAATATGTTTCTCTATATCTGAAAATCTAGCCTTGATCTTTAGAATGCATTTATACTTATATATTATGATAGTAACAGCAACCTTGAGTTCAGGCAGGGTATTTTTAAGGGTAACAATGTTCTAAAATAGGGTTCCTGGGGCTCTTTAAAACTTACTCTCTCATTATGATACAAACAAGTAACAGGGTGACTGGCCCCTTTAAAAGGGAGCAGGATCCAGTGCACCTGGACTGATTACCTGCTGCTCAATAGGGTTTATGGGACGGCAACTGGGCCTTGGGAGGGGATGAGGGAGATAGCTACAGGTGGCTGGCAGATACCTGCAGAAACTGCAGCTAGTAAGAAGACTCCTGAGTCAGCAGGGGGAAAGCACCAGCTGGGAGGGCTTGTAGAGAAGACCAAACCGTAGGTAAGAGGTGCTGAGAGATTGCTCTTCCTCCATGAGGGTCTGTGTCTAGCTTCAGATAGGGGTGAATGAAATGAATTTAAGGGAAGGAAAGATCCTCAGGGAGGTGGGATAGAGCCCAGCTGAAACCAGGATGAAGATTTCATATGTTTGAGTTTTCTTTTGAAAGACTTCATAGCTAACAAATCAGATGGGGGGAATGTTTTGAATATCTGGCCTAGGTGGACTTTTTAAGGGGCCCTGAGTGAAGGAGAAATTGAGGCAGGGTGCTGCCAAACCATATTTGGCTAGAAGAAGGCACAACAGGGCAAGTATTTCCTTTGATAGAGGCACGCTGAGGACTTTTTTTGAGCAAAATAATTGACCTTGCACAGCCCTACCTTTATGGGATCCAGTGTTGTCTGTCTTTTCAAATCATGTCTATCATGCAGCCTCCTATTATATTCTAGTCTAATAAATGCAAGTTTCTTTTGGAAACACAGTGAAGAAGTTAAAATAAATATTATTGTGAATGTAGCCATTACTAGCACCACTTATTGAAAATGTGGGGCAAATTGATTATTGATAACTTGTATATTACTATAACAGTAATAGTAGAAGGGGGAAAAGAACAAGTAGAACTTTTTTCACACCCTAGGCATGTGTGCTTCATTCATGATGATAATTCACCGGGGGAGGGGGTATTTTATTCCACTAGTTTGAGTGCAGAATTGGGTAGCTGGAGATCTGGAATATGTCCCTAGTTCTGCCAATGAGTTCCTGTTTACTCTGTCTCACTATGCCTCAGTTTCCCCATCTATAAATTGGAATAATGTTTACCTACCTCACAGAAGTGTTATGCGGTTAAGATGCTACCTGCGCTAGTAGAGTATGTCCCATTCAAAGCAGAGGTAAGCTCCTACTTGTGCAAATAGCAGCTTTGCCTGTCTACACTAGGGCCTACACTTGTGCAGCTATGCCAATGGCTGGTTATGGTGGCTGTAACTGGAGCAAATCTACAATGGAAAATATACTTCAAAACCTGATTTCAGAGGGATTCTTTTCATGCAAGAGTTGATGACACCAATAACACCTGAAACGAGCTGTATGGAGCTCTGCATTCACTGTTCTGCTTTAGGTGTTGGAGATGTTCCCCTCCAGTAGCTGCTCACTCTGGACTTAGTTGATAAGTGCGGGGGGGAGACAAAGCTGATTTTCAAACATTTTGTTTTAAATGGTAAATGTATCTGCAACTTCTAAGTGTAAACACACATTCCCTTAGAGATATGGGTTAAGACAGTTTTGCATACTTTTTTTTTAAACACAAATATGAAGGGAATGTCACTTTAGCCCCTAGAATTCTATTCCTGTGTGTGGTCATTGGACACTTCTTGTACAGCTTTTGGATTGGAGCCCTACAAGCAATGCAGCTTATCAGAGAACATCTCTGAAGCCTTGTCTTCCCTGCTAAAAAAGGTGTTTTTAAAAAAAAAAAAAAAAAAGGCCTCCAGGCAGCTAATACTTGTGAGCTATCCCAACATGAAAACCCTGTGAAAACAAAGCACTTTTTTTATCATGAGATAAATTAGGCAAGATCAAACCTAGGCAAGGGTAGAGGGTTGACCTCACCTAGTTTACCTTGTGGTAAACTAAAGCCTTCTCTTCACTGTGTTTTTACCTCAGGCTAGCGTGTGTGTGCATTAGCATGTGGTAAAAAATACACTTTTTTTTTTTTTTAAAGCAGTAAAGAGAAGGCTTGGTCTGTGCCCTCTTGACTGAGAATCCCGAGTGTAAGGGGAGGCACTCTTCCTGTGCAACATCTTCTAGAGGTTGGAGGCTGTTTCATGTCTCCCAGACTACTTGCATGAAATTCCTATAT